AAAGAGTTTATTAGCTATGTATGTGGGGAAAGGAGGCAATTCTATTGTTTCAAGATTACATTAAACAGGAATGGAGAACAACTTCTTTTCTTTCCTTCTTCTTTTGTTGTTATTGTTTTGTTACTTTTACTGTCTTACTTGGTTCTGAATTATAGCCAAGAACATAGCTTCTGTTACTTGTCTGGGGGAAAGGTGGGGAGTAAGTAGAAAACAAATGAGGACATAGAGGGCTTTTCTAGCATTTGTTTGGGTTCTGGGGATGGTAGCCAGGGCCTTATGCAGGAAGGCAAGTGCCTCACACCAGTGGGTGAGGCCTCGCACTCCAGGTGCTCTCTCAAGGGCCCTTTGTCCCAGGAAACCTGAACATCTGGGGAGTGAAGAATCTAGGGTCATCAGAGGTTCCAAAAGTACTTACATTCACTCTTCACTTGCTCCTTTTATATTATCACAAACCTCTCAGCTTAAAATCTCAACCTTCCCAGAAAGAAGGACTCGGTGACCTGAAATCTGAGGGCAGAGAGGTGACTAAAGGACGTTTCCTGAAAGCCCAGCTTAGCAAGAGCTTTTGACCAAGCAAAATTCTCCCCATGCCTTCTAACCTGAGTTCTGAACACAAGTCAACAACCTAGAAACAAACCAATTATGCAACTTCTTAAAATAAAAAATTTGGGTATGGTTAAAAGCAACCCACAAAACTTAATTTCTAAGGTTTTCAATTCAAAGGGGCCTCTGGGCCAGAGCATCTGCAGTATGGGGAAGTTCGACAGAAATGCAGAATCTCAGACCCAACAACTCTAACTGCTAAACTCCACTTTATAAAGCTCCCAGAGGCCCCCAATGCAAAGTCTGACGGGCACAGCTCCAAGGCTTTCACTACCTAAATTTCAGGAAGATTATTTTCTGAATCAAAATTTCTGAACCATTATTTAAAAATTTCACAAAAATTTTAAAGGGCATTTAAGGTTAAAACACATTATTTAGTGTACTCATATTTATTTATACACAATATATTATATTAAGATACCATTTGTAAAGGAGTCTAGTTGACGAAAGTACCACCAAATTGCAAATAGGATTCTTAAGGGTCTGAAGTCAACATGGATGCCTGATATTCATGGCCCGACCTCAAATCAGGAAACTAGACTCTCTGCTCTGGATTCTTGGTTTGTTTGTTTTTGTTTTTTTTGTATGGGGATCGAACTCAGGACCTTGCACTTGTGAGGTAGGTAGCGGCACCACTGAACTATATCCCTGGCCCTCTACTCTGGATTCTTGAAGAACCTCCCAGGGCGGCACGCATGTCTTGTGTGTAATTCTAATTCACAACTTTACATGATGAGAAGACACCAAAAGGCCTACTTTCTGCCAATATAAATGTTTTTATTTTATCATCAGTATCCTACCACATACAAGTTTTTTGTTTTCTGATCAGTACTGGGAATTGAACCCAGGGCCTCTGCACTAAGCTATATCCCCATTCCTTTTTATTTTGAGACAAGGTCTCACTAAATTGCCCATGTGGGACTTGAACTTGAGATCATGCTGCCTCAGCTTCCCAGAGTCCTGGGATTACAGGTGTGCGTCAGCACGCATGGCTACACAGTTTTCTGAATTAAAATGACTTATTCTCCACCAGTCCTTTTCCTAGGACCTACAAAAATACTGAGAGTTACCAGAAGGAAGGGATCCAAATGGCATGGGTAGGACTACTGTACCTACTAAAGAAAGTCTAGGACAAAAGTACCATAGCTGTGTGTTTTTATTCTCCACATTTCTCTCACAATACTGCACATTTCATGTGGTCAAATCCAAATTAACAGACATATATACAAAAGAAAGTATATGTGGACATAAGCCTGCTTAATAATAACTGTAAAATTTCCTATTCTGATGTTAAACCTCTTTTAAAACTTGAAAGTAATCTTCTCTACAACTATACAAAAATATGGTTTAGACCAGTATATTACTGCTGCCCCAAAACAATGTAATGACACAAAGGCACCATGTCACAAGTACTATTTCAACAGAGACGACCTGTGAGATGGCAGTGAGTTTAAAGAACAGCAATGATCAAATCTGAGATTCTGAGACCTATGTCTGCTGTCACCCTCTTGAGGATGTGAGAGCTGACCGCCCTAACACTGCTCTCCTGCCTATCATGGCTCCTGAGGTTATAACAGAGGACACAGGTAAATGAATGGTTGAGAGCTTCTGGGATGAGCACCCCCAGATTTTAAAGAACATAATCCCTGAAAAGTGGTACAACAGGCAGGCAGCTCTGGAGAAAAAGGCACAGAAAAAAATGCTTGTAATAGATCCCATATTAAACAAGACCAACAATGACAAAAGAAACCAGACTCACGTGAGGGGTATAGTGTGTGTTTTTGATTGTCTTCTGCTTTTCAGGGCTCGAAGTCTATCACCTTGTGTGACTCCAGTGACTTCGTCATCATCACTGAACTGTGTGAGTAAAAAAATACTGAGCCAGTGATTCAAGTTCTACTTCTCAACACAGGACGAATACAGATGCTTTAGTTTCTGCTGACCTCTTAAAATACTTCTCACCTTTCCAAACCAACCTACATGTCACATTTGAAAACAACCAAAGCTGGTTTTCAAGGGCACAAACCCATTGCCCTCTCCTTATCAAACATAAGGACAATAAAATAGATTAATGCACTCTCAGTTTGAAAATACTCATTTTTCAAAAATTTCACCATTTACCACCCCCACTTCTTTTAGTACTGCTACCCTCTAAAGACTTGATCTTTTAAGAGGTCTGTTTGAGAGCTAATAGTTCTCTAAATCAACTGTTAGTAAATGAGAAAAAGGGATGGGGACAGAGGAATAAATAGTCTACTTTAGATTTCTATTTGCACCCATGCTTAAGGAGTAAAACATTTAGTTTTATGTATACAACTTTGTTTTAACCCTTGTAAGTAAGCTTTCTAGAGAGGATTATAAATATAAAAAATTATAACAATGGTCCCTCAAAATGTGTTTATTATTTTTACTTAAGAGTTTTTCCATGCCCTACAAGGTTCTTAACAGCATTTAAAGCAAAAACAACAGCGTGATGGGGTGGTTTGATTACCGGTTCAGGTTCCTGCTTGTCCTCATTTTCGACCCCATTTATTGAAATGTCATCAACACCTGAGAGGAGTTTGGAGAAGGCAGCTCTATGTGGTCCATTCTCCTGCCCTCTTAACTTCTGACGAAAATAGTCACCCTCCAGCCAGAGGCTCGCTTGTTTCCTAGACATGTAAGCAATATCAAAACACAGCTTTCCAGAAAGAAAGGCACTAAAACAAGTTTTTGCTACCACATTACCTGTTGTTACTGGAAAATGCTACTTCCCATCCATCTTCAGACTGTGCTCCCCTGAGGAATTACAAAAGCTTCCATCTACTCACATGACCAGAAACTGCTGCTGAGGCCCAATCACTGACCCGGGCCTACAGATCCTGACCCATGCGATGGTCTCAGCTGCAGTCATTCGGTAGTGCTTCATGATGTAGCAGGCAATCAGGGTGCCAGTCCGACCAAGGCCAGCTAGGAAAACAGACCAACCAATGACACCAGGCCTGGTGTTCTCCAGAACTTTCTGGGCAAGAGCTTCTAAAAAGATTTCCCATGATTCTGCCTCCATCAACAGTGTTTCTCAAGGTTGGTTAAAGGGCCATGTACCACTCAGTTACACCCCCAATGCTCCAACCCTTCTCTCTCCACCCCACTCTCTGGCCCTTCTTTCCTCCTATCTAGACTGTCATGACCTCCTGTGATGGTTAATTTTATGTGTTGTGTCAATTTGGAAGACGTCTTCAGATTCTCTGAACATTTGAACTGGTGAATTTTCCACGTGAGTAGACTTTATCCACTCAGAAGAAGGCCTGAATGAGACAATAAGGACCAGCTCCAAGAGAAGATGGGCTTCTAGTGCAGACTCCCCGACCCAAGGGCCTGTGCCATGGGCTCTCCTGTGCATCCAGCAGCCAACACACACTGGGAAACATGAGACTCCACACCACTGAGTCCCCACCCCTTCCACGTGTACATTAAACAATTGATTAGTTCTGTCTTTCTCCAGGATGCCCACCAATGCACAGTGGACTGGGGCAAGGGGTGCTGTTGTGACAAAAATGTAATCATGTGGAAGTGACTTTGGAGTTGGGCGTCATACAGGCTAGAAGGACTCCGTTGCATATGTTAGAAGTCTAGACAGACTTGCAGGGACTGGTGCCAGACATGCAGGTATTAAAGGTAATTCTGGTGCAATCTCAGGTAGGCAGAAAGCAAGCACTTCTGGAAACTAGATGAAAGGCAATTCTTGTAAAAACGAGGCAAGGAAATTGGCTGATTTGTGTTCTAATGTTTTGTGGAAGACAGAGTTAGTAATAATACCTTGGATTATTTAGCAATGATGTATAAATAAAGTTTAGAAGGTAAAGCCTTGATTTTTCCTCATGGATTATAGTAAAAGGCAAAAGGGCCGAGTGAACTGAAGAAATAAATTATTAGTAAGTAAAAAGGAACCAGAAACTAAAGATTCAGACAATGCTCAGTAGTACACCCCTAACCACAAAAAAGGCAGGCAAGTTCTAGAAAGAACATCAAGGGTGTGTCGGGGCAATTGCTTCACAGAGAGATGCCCACAGATTAAACCAGCTGTTAGCAGAAGCCAAGAATAGAGATGGATGGTATCAGCACAGACAGTGGCCATCTAGACTATAAGAGATGGAAATGCGATAAAATGAAGAAAGGTTGGGTGGGTTGTTGTTTCATTTTTACACTACAGAAGAGTAAATCCAGGGCCTTATGAATGCTAGGCAAGGTTCCAACACAGAGCTACATCCCCAGCTCCTTTTAAAATTTGTGAATCAGGGTCTCACTAATCACTCATCCTAGCTTTGAATCTGTGATTCTCCTGTCTGAGCCTCCTGATTGGCAGTGATTTTAAGTATGCACCATGATGCTTGGCAAGGTTTTCAAAGTTCTGACAACAATGCTATGACCTCAAGAGCAATTCAGAGAATGACAGGGTGGCCACTGCCACCAAACCACAGAGCTCAGAAGCCTAGAACAAGGCTGTGGCCTTGCTGGTTTCACAAGTGGGTCACCTCCAGTGGTGACAGCAGCAGGCTCCTTGGCCTCAGGGTGGAGACTACCAACTCAAGAGAACTGGAGGGCAGAACATCAAGCCAAAGAAGATTCTTTTATGAGGGATAAGGATTGTTTTTGTTTTACAGGAGCTAGAAATCGAACCTAGAACCTCATTCCAAGGAAGCACTCTACTTCTAACCTTTATCTACTGCTATTTGCCTGTTGAAGCTTCCAACTTGCTGGAGAGCTATTAACCTCTTCTGAGCTCTCCCTTCTGGAACAAGTGTCTATTCTATGCCTATTCTACTTCTGTACCTCAGAAGCACATAACTCATCTGGGTTTCCCAAGTCCCCAGCTGGGGAGGAGCTTTACCTCAGGATAAATCACACTTCAACTCTCACTTGTACCCAATTTCAAAGATATTTAGATGAGGCTTTGGACTTGATGTTCAACTGATTCTGAAATGGATTAAGACTTTTGGAACTGTTGGGATGAGATGAATGTACTTTCTATACAAGAATTTGGGCGAGGATTTGGAGGGACCAGAGAACAGAATAATATGGACTGTACTGTGCCTCTCTCCCTAATCCACAAGTTGATGTTTGAACTCCTAAAGTGACTTTGGTTCGTATTTATTTATTTATTTTTGGTACCAGGGATTGAACTCGGGCCCTTGAACTTGCAAGGCAGGCAGTGAAACCACTAAGCTAAATCCCCGGCCCCTAAAATGACTTTGGAAATAGGACCTTGAAAGAACTAAATAAAGTTAAATGAGGTCATAAAGTAGGGCCCTAATTCAACAGGACTGGTGTCCTTGTAAGAAAAAAGAGAGACTTCAAGACAGAGCACACAGGCAATAAGCAATCTGGGCAAGTCAAGGACAGAAGCCACACCAGGAACCAGTCCAGATGATACTTTGACCTTCAACTGCCAGCCTCCAGAACCAAGAAAATACATTCAGTTACATAACACACCCAGGCTATTACTACAATCTTAATGAATTTCAATTTTCAATGCACAATCCTGTTTTCTTAAGTCATGACTTTTCTTCTGAAAACAAAAAAATTCTGATCATTACCAAATACTCCTTTAATTGATCTTCGGTCTGCAGGTTTCTCAGCCTCAACAGACAGTACTTATGTTTCAGGTTGGACAGTTCTTTGTTGAGGGCTGGCTAATCCTGTACACTGTGTAACAGAATCTCCATCTCTATCCACTAGATGCTATGCAATAGTTCCTGCCAAGTTGTCAGAAAAAACAAAAGTCTCCAGGTATTAATGTCCCCCCGAAGGACACAAAAGTACCCTGGCTAAGAATAAGATCAAGAGTTTCACATAATAAAAAAAGAAATAGTCAATACTGGGTTTTGTCTGAATGACTTTTTAAAACAGGAGTAAGACAGACATAAAACTTAGCATTTTTTCATGTCTGATTTTTCTGATTTCATCTAGTTATCTATATTCTCGTTTAGCTTACTGAACATTTCTAAGAAAGTGTTTCAAATACTATGACAAGTTCAATGGCCTGCTTTTCTTCAGAATTGATAGCTGGGAGTAAGTGTAACCATTTTTACAAGTGCAGTTCAATGTACATCCACAATGCTGTACAGACATTACTACCATCAATCTCCAGAACCTATGTCATTTTGCAAAGTGAAAACTTTAACTATTAACTACCCCTCTAGTCCCTCACACTCTACAGTTTTACTATGTCTCACTATGGAACTTGATTACTTAATTTCCTCATGTGAGTAAATCTTAAAACATCTGTCTTCATCTGACTAGCCAACTTCATTTAGCATGTCTTCAAGGTTCCTCCACATAATAGATCAGAATTGCTTTGAGGGTGTATAACATTCCCTTCTGTAAATGTACCACACTGTGCATATCCTTTCCTCCACTGATACACACCTGAACTGGAACATCCCAGCTTCTGACTACTGGAAAGGATACTGCTATTTCAACTGTACAACTGTTTATACCACTGCTGCTAATTCTTTTTTTTTTTTTTTTTTTTTTTTTTTTTG